TGTCGGTGAGCCCCAGGCGCTCGACCACCTTCTGCTTGCGGTGCAGCTTCTCGTCGAGCTCCTTGAGCTGGACGTGGACTGGCTTGGCCGCCAGCCGAGCGGCCTGCAGGGCGCGGAGCTGCTCCCGCTTCTCCGCGCGGAGCTGCTCGACCCCGGTGCCCTCCATGCCGTCCAGGGCGTCGAGGTCGGCGCGAAGGCGGTCGGCCTTCGCCGACTCAGCTGCGCCAGCGTGGTCCTCGCTCCCCGCCGCCACCCTCTTGTGAGCAGCCTGGGCGTCCTTCTCGGCTTTGTCGAGGGCGGCCTCGCGCTTGCGGAGCTCGGCCTCCTTAGCCTTGAGGTCCTTCTCGCGCTGCTCATTGGCCGCCGGAAGCGCCCGCCGAGAGGGCTCCTTGGGCGCCACCTTCGCGAGGAAGCAGCTGCCCTTCCGGAGGCCGCACATGTTGCATTCCGTGCGGAAGGCCTTGTTGATGTAAGCGTGCCCGTCCCTGCCCGGGCAGAAGCGGCAGGTCCACGCCGTCGCGGAGGCTGCCCTGCTGTGCCCGCCAGTGGCCCACGGCGCCGGCGCCATGTTGCCCGCTGACGAGCCGTGGTGGCCTTCCAGCAGAGCGGCCGCCTGCTGCAACCGCTCGTGGAGGGCTGGCGACGAACGCCCAGCCCAAGCGTGGACCAGAGCGCGGGCCGCCGAGCGGCGGATGCGCGCCCGATGGTGGTTGGCAGCCTCCCGGGCCGCCGTCGGGAATTGCGGGCGCGCGTAATCTCAGCGCGAGGTGGGTCGCTCGTCGGCCAGGCTGACACCCCAAGCAACCTCTCGAGCCGAAACTCTCGCTGGGCCCAGGGGCGCTTCCCCGGTGAGCGCGGAATGCAACAGTGGTGGGCGGGGGTCGCCCGCTCACTGATGCAGAAATAGTTGCGCCCCCCCACGAGGGGGAGCGCTCCCGTGCCACGGGAGCGCCGGCGGCGTCTCCTGACAAGGAGGGCGGGGGGAGCGGGGATGTCGACGCGAAAGAGGAAGGCAGAAAGAGGGGGGAGGCGGTGCGGCGTTCGCGTGGCTATCCCTGCCGAACCCCCCTCACCACCCTGAAAAGGAGGGCGGGGGGAGAGGGAATGTCGACGTGAAAGAGGAAGGTATAGAGGGGGGGGGATGCGGTGCGGCGTTCGCGTGGTTCTCCATGCCGACCCCCCCTCTCACCCCTGCAGTGACGGCCTCGGCACCTCAGTCTGGGCCTGCTGTGCGTGGCTGCCGCTGCGCCGGCGTTGCTGCTGCGGCAGCTGCGAGAAAGTGCGCTGGGCCCGGCGGCCCGTGGGCCCCAGGTGGCGGAGGTCTGCCACAGCCCGGATGTGGCGATCCCGCCCTCCCGCAAGAGAAAGGGCCCCAGTTGCCCGGACTCGCTGAGCGCGCGGGCGCGCGAGGAGGGCGAGAGGGACCAAAAGGGGACGGCCGCGGAGACGGCGGAGCCCAGGTGGAGGGAGAACGAGGAAGATTATGAAAGGGAGCGAGGGGGGGGCACGGAAGCCGGCGGAGAGACAAGCTGAGTATTTGGTGACGCGATCGCTCCGGCGGGGCTGGCATCTCACCTTCTGTTGCGAGCCTGTGACATTCGCATTTGGAATGGCGACTGACTCATGTTAGATCATACTCCTCGCTCACCTCCGCTGCTGCTCGTCTGATCCCGCCCCTCCCAAACACCCCAACCCCCACATTCGATGAGCGCGAGGACCCCTGCTGGGGGTGCGCCCGTACCACGGGCGCAGCAAGCACACACTGCGGATGAGAAAAAGGGCGAGTTAGTGACGAAAAAAACGATCTAGTGACGCGATCCCTCTGATAAGGCCGGCATGGAGCCTGTGGCACTCACACTTGGAATGCTGGATGACTCTCATTTTAGATCGTACTTCCCATCTACGTCCCATCTTCCGCCTCCTCCCCATCCGCAAACGTGATCGCTTCGCACAAAAGGAGAAGGTGCTCATGCCTTGGATGGGCGATCGCAGATGCAAACCGTCTCATTCAGTAGATCTGGTAGGCACTGCCTGGGGGATGGGAAGGGCACCCTCTCCAATTTCTTTGGGACCGTTTGCCTAAGCGTTTGGATGGTCTTCAGGCTGTCCTGGTGGTGCCCTCGGAGGCGGAAGCCATCCTCGTGGAAGAAAGTCGCGATGATGAAGCGGGCCTCTGTGAACCCGCCCTCCTCCATGCCCTCGCCAGCGTACCTGTGCACGGACGCGCGCTTGGAGTACATGAGGTCGAATTTGTGGTAAGTGCGGGAGGTGCTGTTTTTGACGAGCCGGGTGGTCGCGGGGTCCTCCTGGACCGTGTGCCTGAGCGTCTGGATGGCCTTCAGGCTGTTCTGGTGCGGCCCTCGGAGGCAAAAGTCAGCCTCATGTAATTATTTTGTTAATGAAAAAGCGTGCCTCTGTTAAACCGCCCTCCTCCATGCCTTCGCCGACGTACTGGTGTACGAACGCGCGCTTTAGGGGAACGCAGAATTACATAAACATAAAACTTCGGATGTCCGCGCGGATTTCTCGGATCGGCGCTGGGCGCGGAGCGCGCCAGGGGCGGCGCCCGGAGGCGCCGCCAGGGGGGCCCAGCGCGGATCCGAGAAATCCGCGCGGACCTCCGAGTTTTTATGTTTACGTCATTCTGCGTTCCCCTGCGCTTGGAGCACATGAGGGCGACCTCGTGGTCGGTGCGGGAGGTGCTGTCTTTGCGGATCCGGGTGGTCGCAGGTTCCTCGGCCCTGGCGCGAGGCCGGGCGTTGTGCCTGGCCGTCGCCTGCTGCGGGATCCCCCGCCGCTTGGGCCCAAAATGGCTACGGACCCCGCTTCCTCCTCCTCCTCCTCCTCCTCCTCCTCCTCCTCCTCCTCCTCCTCCTCCTCCTCTCAGTCTCTCTTGTCTTGTTTTCTTCCCGACGCCACCGAAGCACCAAGGCCGCAACGAGGCATTGGGTTGGGATGATGATGATGATGATGATGAGGAGGAGGAGGAGGAGGAGGAAGAGGAGAGGAGGAGGAGGGGGAGGGAGGAGGAGGGGTGGGGGTGGGGGGGGAGGGGGAGAACAACCAACAAAAATGTTTACTGCGAGAGTTGGGCAGGTGCCGCGCACTCTCGGCGCCCTTCCCATTACTGCGAGAGCTGATTAGGTGCCGCGCACACCCGGGTGACAGGTACCACCTTCCTCGCTTCTTGTATTCTTCGCACAGCATTTCCTCGACATTCGCTTTCATACTTCTACAAGACTTCGTGAGGTGTTGTGAGTTCCGCGCTGCTTGCCTAATTAAGAAGCAAGAGCGACACAACATATAACAGCAACAGGCCACCCGCGGCAATGTAAGCAGTCACTGCCGGTTTTCTTGTGTTCCCGTGCGAGCCCTCCTCTCCGTGCTGACCCACATCCCTGCCCGACCCACGCAGACGGGCGCGACGCCACAGGCGAGCACACAGCTTCGTCAGGAGGGGAGGAGAAGAGGGGCTAGGACAAGCTAGGTGCGCTCGCGTCAGATCTGACGTCCTACCCCTCCCTCCCATCCCTTACCATGGCGCTGATTTTCTCTATCCGCGGACGCGTGTCGTAGCGGACCTGTGGCTCCGCGCGCGCGTGCGTAGTGGGTGGTGGTGCACGTGCGTGCGTGCGTGCGTGTGTGCGTGGTTGTCGTGGTGGTGGTGGTGGTGGTGGGTGGTGGTGGTGGTGGTGGTGGTGATGGTGGTGGTGGTGGTGCTGGTGGTGGTGGTGGTGTGGTGGTGGTGTTGGTACTGGTGCTGGTGCTGGTGTGGTGGTGGTGGTGGTGGTGGTGGTGGTGGTGGTGGTGGTGGTGGCGGTGCGGCGCGGTGGTGGCGGGCGGATGGGCGCGCGAGAAAAAGGCCCGCGCTGGGGCGAGAACGCCATCCTGAACGACGGAGGCCAAACACCGATCCGAAAATGAGGCCCACGCTGCAGCGGGAGCACGATTCGGAACGATTCGGGAGCAGAAATGAGGCCGGCGCCTCAACGAGAGCAGCATTTTGGGAAAAAATGACACCGGCGCCTCAGCGAGAGTCGTTTCCCGGGATTTCCCGTGGATCCTGTGTGTTAAAAAACAGTACGCGGAGGGTGCGCGGCCATCACCCGGACGCCATCAGGGGAAGAGGGAGAGTATTTTCATATTGAGTAATTTTCAACTGAGGGCCCCTTCTGCCTCCTCCTGCCCCTGTCCTCTCCTCCTCCCCTGTCCTTTCATCTTCCTTCCCCCCTCCTCCTCTTCCTCCCCTTGTCTCCCCCGTATCCAGCACCCGTTGTGCGCACGGGACGGTCCCTTTGTCTCCAGCACTTCTCTTCGCCCGTCGCAAGAAAGATCGGCCGTGCGTCCTTGGCAGCGGCACGCTTGCACAGTTGATAGCTCTGTGCATGTACCTTCTCCCTCCTTCTTCTGCTCCTCCTCCTCCTCCTCCTCCTCCTCCTCCTCCTCCTCCTCCTCCTCCTCCTCCTGCTCCTCCAATTCCTCCTCCTTCACCTCCTCCTCCCATCTCAAAGCTCGACCCCCGACTCTCTTGGGGTGCGTTCTGACTAGAATTTCGAGGCGGATTCAGCCATGGCGATGAAGGTCCTTCGCGAGGCCCTGGAAGACCCGACATCTTCCTCTTCGTCCTCCAGCTGTTGGCATTCGTGTCATCTGAAGGCAGCCACCACCACCCTCCTCCCCCTGGTGGGGGGTGGTCACACTAGTAGCCAGCACTGGAAAGCAACATGAACATGCATCCTATGGGGGGGGGGGTAACTGCCTTCTGCCTCAGGAGGGAGGGGAGGGAGACGAAACGACGGGACGGCGCGACGACCGTCGACGACGCTCCTCCTCCTCCTCCCCCTCCTCCTCCTCCTCCTCCTCCTCCTCCTCCTCCTCCTCCTCCTCCTCCTCCTCCTCCTCCTCCTCCTCCTCCTCCCCCTCCTCCCCCTCCTCCTCCTCCTCCTCCTCCGGGCGCCCGAGTCTCAGCCTTGAGCTCCCCCTTCCCGCCCCCCAGCGAGGAGCGCGGGGACGGCGGCGACCCCGCGCCGCCCTCGCAGCAGCTGGTCAGCGCCCTCGTCGCGAGGCCGCAGCCGCCCCCCTCTTCCCCTCTCCTGGGGGGAGAACGGTGACTATGAGGAGGGGGAGGTTCGGGGGGGAGGGGAAGGGGAGCAGGACGAGGAGGAGGAGGACCAGTGTAACCCGAGGGTCACCAACGATGTCGGAACACACTCTCCCCCCAAACTCCTTCATAGGCCCCTACAACGGTTCATTTCGCCAGAGGGACTTGCCTCGTTGGAAGACAACCGTTTGAAGATCCTGAAGCATGCCAAAACATTGTTCTCGGGATTCCAACGCCACGGATCAACCTGACTGACGCGTCTTGACGATCTCGACTCGTGCCAGAACACCACTCTTGGGACTTCAACACCGCGAACCATCGTAACTGTTGCACCCTCATAATGGTAGACCCTTCCAACACACAATTTCTGGTACGCCGGCCATGGAAATCCGTGAAACTCGTTTATACTTTACAACGAACGTGCGCGGCGCTAAGGCGAGAGCCACATTTTGAGCAGGAACCGCCATCAATCAGAGAAACTCTTGCGCATATTTAAAACGAATTTGCGCGGCGCTAAGGCGAGAGCCATATTTTGAAAACCACCCTCCTTCAATCCGTGGAGCTCTTGCAAATTTTGAAACGAATGTGCGCGGCGCTAAGGCGAGAGCCCCATTAAACAATTGCCTGTCCCCAATCCGCGAAACTCTTCCAACGCTTTAAACGGTTGTGCGCGGCGCGAAGGCGATATCCACATTTGGAAAACGACCCGCCCTCCATCTGGGAAGCTGTTGCCAGCGTTCAAACTTCAGGGTCGCAAATGGTGAGGAAGTCTGATGCGAAACGCCCAGCCCGCCCTAAAACCGGCCTTGGGATGCGACAGGGAGCAGTCATCTATAAGGAAAAGGAATGGAAAAGGAGGAGGAGCAGCAGTAGCAGGAGCAGGAGCAGGAGCATGAGCACGACGACAACGACGATGACGAGGACGACGAGGACGACGAGTAAGAGGAGGCACTGTAGGATGACGACGTGGATGATGATGATGATGACGATGATGACGATGATGACGATGACGATGAAGATGGTGAATCTGAGATGATGATGATGATGATGCTGGTGATGATGCTGCTGATGATGATGGTGATGGTGATGGCCATGGTGATGCTGGCGATGTTGATGGTGACTGAGGTTGCGATGATGATGAATATGATGAAGGCGATGATGATGATGATGATGAGGATGAAGATGGTGAAGGTGATGATGATGATGATGATGATGATGATGATGATGGTGCTGGTGCTGGTGCTGGTGCTGGTGCTGATGATAATGGAGATGGTGATGGCGATGGTTGTGGTGATGATGGTTGCAATGTTGATGGTGAGGGTGGTGGTGATGATGGCGATGGTGGTGATGCTGATGATGTTGATGATTATGATGCTGATGCTGATGTGCTGATGATGATAGTGATGCTGATTATGATGATGATGGTGCTGATGCTGATGATGATGATAATTGTGGTGGTGATGGTGACTGTGATGGTGATGATGATGGCGAAACTGATGATAATACTCGTGATGATGCCGATGGTGATGATGACGGTGCTTATGGTGATGGTGGTGATGATGGTGATGGTGATGTTGATGTTGATGATTATAGTTCTAGTGATGGTGATTGTGATGGTGATGGCGATGATGATGATGATGTCGATGCTGATGCTGATGCTCATGACGATGATGGTGATGGTGATGATGATGCTGATGCTGATGCTGATGTTGCTGATGATGCTGATGATGATGGGGAGGAGGAGGATGTGGAGGACGATGAGGTCAGAACTTGATGTTACCAGGCAAGGGTAGCAAGCCTTGCCTGGGCCCACCGATGAGGCGCCCTCACAAGACAAACAGATTCCCCTGTCATGTCCAAAGTCGGCACGCTGGTACATATCCCGGCTTGGGCTTCGACTTTCGAAGCAAGTTGTTTTCTGCGTCGGCTTTTTTCTTGTACGCCGACGGCGAGCAGGAGAGATTGCAACCCATGGGGTTGTTGAGAGAAAGGCAGTGCTTGAACTGACTCCTGGCCCCTGCCCGTCGGGCGGGGCTAGGACGATGATTAACCCGCCCGATTGTGCTCTCGCCCTGGCTTAGTCTTAGGGCCCCTTCCTCCGCCACTCCGAAGTGTCTCGCAAATCAGGCACAGGTGGCGTCTGAGAGGGACCAGCAGGGCCCCAGCTCCACGTTGGGAAAGTGGGTCGGGTTGTGATGGGCCCGCAACCGCTTGCGACGAAGGAGGAGGAGGAAGACGAGGAGGTGGAGGAGGAGGAGGAGGAGCGATGATGATGATGATGATGATGATTATGATGATGATGATGATGATGATGATGATGATGATGATGATGATGATGATGATGATGATGATGATGATGATGATGATGATGCTGATGCTGATGATGATGAGGAGGAGGAGGAGGATGATAAGGTTGTTGATGATGATGATGATGGTGATGATAATGCTGCTGATGCTGATGCCGATGCCGATGCCGATGCTAATGATGATGGCAATGGCGATGACGATGACGATGATGATGCCGATGCTGATGATGATGCTAATGATGATGGTGATGTTGATGATGCTAAGGATGATGATGATGACGATAGCGATGCTGATGGTGATGACGATGCTGATACTGATGATGCTGCTGATGATGATGCTGATGCTGATGCTGATGATGATGATGATGATGATGATGATGATGATGATGATGATTATGCTGCTGATGATGATGATGATGATGATGATGATGATGATGATGATGATGCGACTGAGGAGGAGGAGGAGGAGGAGGAGGCGGAAGAGGCGGAGGAGGAGGAGGAGGACGAGGACGAGGAAGAGGACGAGGAGCGACGAGGAGGAGGAGGTGGAGGAGGAGGAGGATATGGAGGAGATGGAGGACGACGACAAGGAGGGAGAGGAGGAGGAAGCTCAAGAGGAGGAAGAGGAGGTAGGATGCAGCCCGAAAACGTCGCTGAAGTCTTCCCTCGAAGGAGGAGGAGGAGTATGAGGAGGAGGAGGGATGAGGTGGTGGGGGGGTCAGGAGGGGTGAGGAGGATGCAGAGGTGGATGACAGGGATGAGGCCGAGGCCGTGGATGAGCATGAGAAGGAGGAGGAGGAGGAGGCAAAAGAGGAAGAGGAGGAGGAGGAGGAGGAGGACCACCAGTGCAAACCCAAGGCCCATTAACAATTTTGCAATACACTTCCCTTCAAGTTCCCTCTTCATAGACCCCCACACGGATTCAATTTCACTGGGGGAAGTTTCCCGTTGGAAGACAACCTTTTGAAAATCCGGAATTGTGCTAGAACGCCAGTCCTCGGACATCGCTGCCGCAAATCACCGTTACTGTTGCGCCCTGACGATCCCGAATGGTGTCAGAACACCGTTCCTGGGACTCCAACACCGCGGATCAACGTGACTGTTGCGCCCTGACAGTCCGACGGCGTGCCAAAAAACCGCTTGTGTAACTTCACCTTGAGAACTTTTGACGCTGCTGCAAACTCTTAAGGCGAATGTGCGCGGCTCTAAGGCGAGAGCCACATCTTGAAAAGGAACCGCCCTCCATCCGTGAAACTTCTGCACAGCTTTAGGACCCATGTGCGCGGCGCAAGTGCGAGAGCCACCTTTAGAAAACGGGCCCACCTCCATCCGTGAAGCTCTTGCGATTTTTTTACGACGAACGTGCGCGGCGCTGGGGCGAGAGCCACATTTTGAAAAGGACCGCCCTCCACCCTGGAAGCTTCCGCACAGTTTTAAGATGAATGTGCGCGGCGCTAAGGCGAGAGCCGCATTGCGAAAACGGGCCGCCCTCCATCCTTGAACCGCTTGTAAGTTCGAAGCTTCAGGATCATAAATGGTGAGGAAGCCTCCGGCGAAAGGCCCGGCCCGCCCTTGCGACCGGCATCGGGGTGCGACGGGGAGGAGTTATCTAGAATGAGAAGGGATGGAGGAGGAGGGGGAGGAGGAGGAGGAGGAGGAGGAGGAGCAGGAGCAGGAGCAGGAGCAAGAGCAGGAGCAGGAGAAGGAGGCGGCTCAGACCTTGACCTCCACCGGGGTCCCAATTAGGTTGCGCTTGGGGCACTTCGCCACGGGGCGAGGGCCAGGGATTCGAGGATCGAGCTTTTTTCCCTGAGGAGTTGACGGCTTTTCGCTGGTCGATTTGAGAGAATCAGGGCCGCGGGAGGGCGCCGCAGGCTGCCGCCCTCCGCCATACCGCCGCTCGTACAGCACCTGATGCCGGCCATGCACGATGCGGACAGCCACGCCGCTCTCAGCGGCGTGGATGCGCTCTACCTCATTCTGCAGGCCCGCGGTCCTCCTCGTCCTTCTCCGCTCCCTGCCCTGATCAGCCGCCGCGGAGCTTGACCAACCTCTTTTTGCGAAATGTCTTGGGCTCGATTCCTTGCCCACGAAACGGACCGCGTTCGGTTTTTGTGAGGGAGTGAGCGACAGGTGAAGGCTGATATATTTTTTAGGAGCGGGCTCCCGACCCGCCTCGGCAGCCTTGCAAGCCGCCGCCGCCAGGCCCGAAGAATCCTGGTGTTCCCTGGGTACGGTGATGAACTTGTGCTTCGCGTGTCGCTCCGCCAGTTCTGGCCCACCATGCTTGGGCGCGACACGCTATGCACTTTCCCGTGCCCAAGCGTCAACGCCCCGACCTTTTCCGAGCCTCCCGCCCCGCCGAGCGCAGCGACACGCTATCCTTTCGCAGGGCACAGCGTGTCGCTGGGGCCGCCGCCGCGACACGCTCATCAAACGTTCCCAGCCGTAGTCGGTGATTTTCCTGCACCTCCGCGGCGGAATGGCCGCACCTGCCAAGAGGCGTTCGCGTCGGAACAGGAACGATGACGGGAGGGTTCTGGGCCATGCTCGGCCACGGGCGGGCCCCGCCCGGCTCTGGGACTGTCAAAGAACGACGCAGGATGAAGAACCGGCCCCGGGGAACGGATCGGGGTTTCCAGGGATCGCGCATTTGTCCGCCCAAGACATCGGATGTCTGGGTTCTAGACCCTCCACGATAGAAGGGCTGCGAGGTCCTTCCCGAACCCTTCCGTGACAGGGGGGGCACTCTGTTGGGCAGCCCTTCCGTGACAGAGGGGTTCAGCGAAAATCGAATGGCACTTATAATTCCGTGGCGGGGATTTATCGATTATCTTGGTGAAGGCCCCAACCATGCGTGGGCGTGAAAATCGCAAGGCAGGTAGGGCGAAGGAGGGGGAGCTCCCGATGGGGCCACGAGGCGCGTGAGTGGTGCGCCGAAATGGGCGGAGGGGAACACCTGGAGGGGGCCGACTTCTCTTCATCGGCGAGGGGCCGGCGGACGGCGGTCGAAGCCGTACGAGGGGCAGTTCCGCTGGTGGAAGGTTGGCAGAAGCCACGGATGCCCCGCAACAAAAGGTGATGATTCCCCACCCGACTGGTTAGAAAATTGGTCTACCCAAGATGGATTGGGCTCCTGAGTGAAAGTTGTTGCTTCTCTTCTTCTTCTTCCTCCTCCCATTCCTCCGATCACGACAGGTTCGTGCCGCGTCGAAGCGGCGGCGGCCCCAGGCGCGGACGTTCAAGGTCGAAGGCCGGCAGCCCAGAATCGGCCGATGTCTGGTCATCTGCGCTGTCGGAAAGCTGCGGCCGTGTCTAGATCCACGCGGAGTCTGGATCCACGTGGAGTCAGAAACCAACGCGGAGTCTGGTCGAAAGCCGCTGTCTGGATCCACGCGGAGTCAGAGACCAACGCAGGAGGCAGGGGGGTAACGCGAGGGGCGGATCGGCTCAGGCTTGGCTGCATCGGCAATGGCCCAGTCGTCGCTGATAGGGCCCTGGTAGCCCACCCAGCTCAGGAGCATGTGGATTTTCTGGAGGAGCAGGAGGAGGAGGAGGAGCAGGAGGAGGAGGAGGAGGAGCAGGAGGAGAGGCAAGGGAAGGAAAGCATGTTCCCTGGTCCAAACTTAGTTAACTACAGCACAACAAACAACTCGCACCATCGACAGACAATCATTGAACCATCTCCCCTTCCCAACGAAGAAGACAGACATCTTGATATCGGAGCGTGGGCCCCAGACAGTGCCTGGAGGCGGATCCAGCCGCGACCACGAGGGCGCCCCAGAAACCCGAACAGTGCCAATGGCATCAAAAGACATCGGGCCTTCGAACCTCCACCCGCAATCCTCCGAGATCTAGCGGCGCGCGCAGGGAGGCGGCGCCCTTCTAAGAAAGCGGGAGGCGTCTAAGAAGGCAGGTGGCTTCTCAGAAGCCCTCATGGCTTCTAAGAACCCTACTGGTTTCTGAGAAGGCCTCCTGCCTTCTGAGAAGCCCTCCTGCCTTCTTAGAAGCCCCTCCTGGCTTCTGAGAAGGCATGTGGCTTTTGAGAGGCCTTCTTAGAAGCACCCAGTGGCCTTTGCCGTCAAAGGACCCCTTTGCCTTCTTACAAGGCTGCTGGCTGCCCTCCTCGCGCCGCCCCCTTGTGTACGCCGTCAAGAGGCGCTGGGCGTCGTTCCGAAGTCGATTATGCTCCTCCCCCTCCGAGCTCCAGTTCCTGGAAAGTCTGATTCAGCATCGGCACCTAACATGCGTGTTCGAAAAGCGTTCATCCCGTTTCTGTCCTGCTAAAATTAGCTTTCTCATGGGCAGAACCTGGCTTACGGTGAAGAGCTTTTGCTTAGCGTGTCGCTCCGCCACTTCTGGCCCACCACGCCTCGGCTCGACACGCAAAACACTTCCAGGTCGCCGAGCAGCGTCAACGTCTCGAGCTCAGTCCAGCCTCCCGCCCCGTGGAGCGGAGTGACACGCTATCTTTTCGCAGGGCATAGCGTGTCGCCACGGCCGCCGCCGCGACACGCTCATCAAACATTCCCGACAGTAATAGCCCCTGTCCTAATCGGGCTGTTTGAATCGTTCTCACGAAGGCCTCCAAGGAGTTGGCGCTCATGCCGACGCCTGGCCGGGCGTGCGCGAGGCCGCTCGGATCACCTCCACCCACCAAAAGGGTTGGCGGGGCTTGTTGTGACCGGCGCCGCCGCGGTCGCCGCCGCCTCGCCACCGCCGACGTCGTCGTCATCGGCATCGTCGCCGTCGTCGCCGCCACTGCCGCTGTCGTCGAAGGCCGGCAGCCCAGAATCGGCCGATGTCTGGTCATCTGCGCTGTCGGAAAGCTGCGGCCGTGTCTAGATCCACGCGGAGTCTGGATCCACGTGGAGTCAGAAACCAACGCGGAGTCTGGTCGAAAGCCGCTGTCTGGATCCACGCGGAGTCAGAGACCAACGCAGGAGGCAGGGGGGTAACGCGAGGGGCGGATCGGCTCAGGCTTGGCTGCATCGGCAATGGCCCAGTCGTCGCTGATAGGGCCCTGGTAGCCCACCCAGCTCAGGAGCATGTGGATTTTCTGGAGGAGCAGGAGGAGGAGGAGGAGCAGGAGGAGGAGGAGGAGGAGCAGGAGGAGAGGCAAGGGAAGGAAAGCATGTTCCCTGGTCCAAACTTAGTTAACTACAGCACAACAAACAACTCGCACCATCGACAGACAATCATTGAACCATCTCCCCTTCCCAACGAAGAAGACAGACATCTTGATATCGGAGCGTGGGCCCCAGACAGTGCCTGGAGGCGGATCCAGCCGCGACCACGAGGGCGCCCCAGAAACCCGAACAGTGCCAATGGCATCAAAAGACATCGGGCCTTCGAACCTCCACCCGCAATCCTCCGAGATCTAGCGGCGCGCGCAGGGAGGCGGCGCCCTTCTAAGAAAGCGGGAGGCGTCTAAGAAGGCAGGTGGCTTCTCAGAAGCCCTCATGGCTTCTAAGAACCCTACTGGTTTCTGAGAAGGCCTCCTGCCTTCTGAGAAGCCCTCCTGCCTTCTTAGAAGCCCCTCCTGGCTTCTGAGAAGGCATGTGGCTTTTGAGAGGCCTTCTTAGAAGCACCCAGTGGCCTTTGCCGTCAAAGGACCCCTTTGCCTTCTTACAAGGCTGCTGGCTGCCCTCCTCGCGCCGCCCCCTTGTGTACGCCGTCAAGAGGCGCTGGGCGTCGTTCCGAAGTCGATTATGCTCCTCCCCCTCCGAGCTCCAGTTCCTGGAAAGTCTGATTCAGCATCGGCACCTAACATGCGTGTTCGAAAAGCGTTCATCCCGTTTCTGTCCTGCTAAAATTAGCTTTCTCATGGGCAGAACCTGGCTTACGGTGAAGAGCTTTTGCTTAGCGTGTCGCTCCGCCACTTCTGGCCCACCACGCCTCGGCTCGACACGCAAAACACTTCCAGGTCGCCGAGCAGCGTCAACGTCTCGAGCTCAGTCCAGCCTCCCGCCCCGTGGAGCGGAGTGACACGCTATCTTTTCGCAGGGCATAGCGTGTCGCCACGGCCGCCGCCGCGACACGCTCATCAAACATTCCCGACAGTAATAGCCCCTGTCCTAATCGGGCTGTTTGAATCGTTCTCACGAAGGCCTCCAAGGAGTTGGCGCTCATGCCGACGCCTGGCCGGGCGTGCGCGAGGCCGCTCGGATCACCTCCACCCACCAAAAGGGTTGGCGGGGCTTGTTGTGACCGGCGCCGCCGCGGTCGCCGCCGCCTCGCCACCGCCGACGTCGTCGTCATCGGCATCGTCGCCGTCGTCGCCGCCACTGCCGCTGTCGTCGACATTGTCGTCGTGGCCGACGCTGTCGCCGATGTCGTTAACGTCTCCGTCGTCGTCGCCGCCGTCGCCGTCGCTGATGTCGTCGACATCGGAAATCCTTTTCTAGGAAATCGATTTTTATTGTTGGTCAACGGAAACGGTTCCGAGCGCACTCGCCTCGGCGCTGGCTCCATTTTCTTTGTTCGTTGTAAACGAAGCTCCTTTTCGAGCGCGGGCTTGGGTCCCAATCCCGACCGTTGAAGGCAAAACTGCGACGACAACTGCTCACATTTCATATTCCCTCACAATTTACTCCGAGTCGCCCTGGCCAAGCCCCCAAACCCAGGAGTGGCGGTCTGGCCCAAGACTTCTGCACAATGCTGTATAGTTGGCGAAGGCACAATTACGACGAGAACGCCTCCGGGTTGATACTTCCTCACAGATTGCTCTGGCGCCCTGGCCAAAGAGACCCCCAAACTCGCGCAATTCAATCAAGTTACTGAAGGCTCAACTATGACGACAACGGCTCCCGCTTGTCACTTCCTCGCATGTTACTCCCACGCACCCTGGTCGGATGCTTTCTCACACTCAGGACAGGCGCCCTATGCTGAGTGCTTCTCCCAGGATCTGATACGAAAAGAAGCCACACAAGAATTGGGCGTAGAGAGCGAGTAGAGGGCGGGTACAAGGGACGTAGAGGGCGGGTACAAGGGAAGGGGCGAAATACAAAAAGTGTGTTGAATCACATGTTCGCAAGATGGTCGCCGTCGTGGTCGCCGCCGCTGTTGCCGTCGTCGCCATCGCCGTCGCCGCCGCCGTCGTCGCCGCCGTCGCCGTCTTCGCCGCCGTCGGTCGTCGGCGGCGAGGCCTGCTGTGAGAAACTTAGCGGCGAGCGAGCGGCCAACCTCATCTCGACCGTATTCGAGGAGGTCGAGAAGGCCCCGCTGGGCTGCGCCGCCTCAGTGCTCTCCCCACCTCATGGCCGCCTACGATACGATCGCCAGCCGGGGCCTGCGGCCGCAATTCCGATCCGATCTTATCTGGTTCGGTTCGCCAGCATCGGCCAGGGCCAGCTGGAGCCAGGCGCGACGGTCCGATCTCGATTCGATTCGGGGCGATCTGTTGGCGATCCGATCCGTTTCCGATGCGATCGGGGCTTCGAGGATGTGGGTCTTGCTGTGGTGAGTTGCATTCTACGTCGTCATTGTTTTTACTAGTGCTTGAGCCGCGGTTCGGTTTTCTGTTGTGGAAAAAAAAACAAAACAGTTGTGATAGACGCAATCGTAGCAGGCGCATGATTGGGGTGGGGGTGGGATTGCTGTGCGTCACCGTAGCCATTTTGGCTTAAGGTGTTTGCACTGGTACTCTCGGCTTTCGCACGCGTGTTGTATACAGAGCTTGTTCACGCGAGTCAGAGTCGCCATGGAACCGACTCCGGAGGAGATGGTGACCATCACCCACTGGGGCAGACTCACCGATTGGGCTTAACTACCTAAGCGGGCCCAGCACGGAGAGGCACCGTCGTTGCCTCACGGGGCTTTCTTCCAGATCTTAGGGGCCGCAGCGGCCACGAAACCAAGAATCATCGCGGCAATGAAGGCGGAGACCTTTGACAGCGGGCTGGAGGATTGGCGAGTAGGTGGTACTCTCTGGGCCCCTGTCCTTCAAGCATTAGTGAGACTCGTATGGACTGTGGCCAGGCCAGGTTCGTATGCGGCGTGGCCAAGACGATTGCAAAGAAGCAGGAGGAGGAGCGGAAGGAGTACGAAACGACCAAGCTCAAGACCCAACCAGCATCGAAGATGGTCAAGATTGCCACGATGGTAGGCCAGGTTGGCGACCTCGAGGTGCCTCCGTTGGAGCAGGACGACATGGCCGAGGCGTACAACGTCTACCGCCTGAAGATGGGTGGCGACCCGATGCCCGTGGAAAACGCCCCTCTGGAGCAGCTGACGGGCCTGAAAGCGCTGTTCGCTACAGGCTCCCCGCCATAATACGTCGACCTAGCAGCGTGGGAGCCGTTGGGCCGAAGCATCAGGAAGAAGCTGAAGCTATCCGGCTTCACCATGGGCGCCAACGGCTTCCTCCAGCTGACGCAGTTGTTCGGCCCATGGTGCCGAGGTGTGGGCCCTAGTGTGCCGGGCGGAGGTGCGCGCGCGGTTGGACTGCATGGGGCGCGTCTGGAGGCTCGGCACTGCTGCCCGGTTCCGGGTGCTGGCAGCCAACGGCGCGCACAAGTTCGACCCAGAACTCCCTCGGGAGTGGGTCTTCTGGCAGATGGCCGAGGACAACAAGTTTTGGCGAGAGCAGCTGGCGGACAAGACAATGCATGGCAATGTGCGACGCGACATTGCGCCGCCTCCGCCCCCGCGCAGGTTAACTGTTCAACAGGCCACGAACGTCCGACCACGACCTAAGGGGCCACTGGATTAGTATTACCATCTTCGGCCTCCTGCGGGTCGCTATCGGATGCGCTGTGGGACATTTGCAGCGTGGCGGAGACGACGCAGGTGCAACCGGCCCCCACTGGGACCCTGCCTGTAATCCACCTTTTCGCGAAGTCGTTCGCGAAGTACACGCCTGGATCAACGTGGCCACAGGCACTACGACCCCCGCCCAACAGGCCGCAGCACTACAGCGTGGTCTGGGAGGGCTCGCAAGGACCATGGCCATGAGAGTACCCTCTGGAATCATGAACTTTGGCGCAAACACCGGCGGTCGCCACACTGACGGCGCCACCTACATCACGTTCCTTCAGTACTACCACCCCCTGGATTAAAAAGTTGTGACCGGCACTATGCGAGAGAGCGATCCCCGCGGGTTTCGCCGGTCGACTGGCCCTCGAGCCTGCACCATCGATCAACCCCGAGATGACTCCAAGGCAGGCCCGTGAACCGAATGACGGAACGGCTCCGCAGGGCGTGGAGCTCTGCAGCACAAAGTTATGGAAATCATCGCACACGAAATCTCAGTCTTCTGGCGGCATGGAAGGGAACCTGCAAGTGCTGTTTGAGGGCGTCGTAAGCGAAACGACCACTCTCAGGCGGCATGAACATGGATCTGAAACTTGTTGTGAGGAAGTCCTAAGCGAAATCGCCACTTTCAGACGGCATGGGAGAATTTCAGATCGCCCTGGAAGGCGATCTGAACATTTGTTTGATGAAGTCCTAGGCGGAATGCCACTTTCAGACGCCGGCCCCATTTGGCCTTTATAATATTAAAGGGGGTGAGGTATGCGTCTGAAACTCCCAATTCGGCATCAACTCCAACATCGTCCTGGGCCCCATGGCTTAACGGGTGATCAACGGCGTCTCTCCCTCTCTCTCGAACCCCGCCGTCCCAACTTTTTAATCCAGCGGGTTGTATGTTTGAAAATCTAGAGGAGGAGCGCCAACTGAATTCAGGAACGGCTCTGATCGACTTTCGCGTCCACGCGGGAGAGCGGATCGACTGGACGTTAGCGCGCCTTGGGGTAGCCCGCTTCGAGGCCGAGACCGCGGGCTTGAATGTCCCCAACTTCCAGATCCTAACAGTCATCCTGTTTAGGGCTCTGGGGGTGGGTACGTCGCGTGCACAACAATTACTGCAACCGCACCACCAACTGCCAGGGACCCAGCAAGAATTTGATTTTCTACTAGAACGCACGAGGTCCGATGCTCACATTGCCGAGCGAACCCTTGGCAACACCAGTGGTATATTTAGCCGCGGTCATCGTGCCGAATGCTATTACACTGATACTAATGCAAGGCAACCTGCTACCAACGTCTGGAACGATGATCCACAACCAACAGAAGCCACCACCTTATTTGGAAAGCGCGACACTGGATCACCCTGGAGTTGAAGGGGGGGGGATCCGACCCCCCCCCTCCCCCCCTTGGCGCTGGAAAGGGGGGGGGGGTCGACCCCCCCCTCCTTCCCCCCTTTGCGCCGAACAGGGAGCCGGCGAGAGGGCCTCTCCCGCAAGGGGGGGGGGGTCTGGCCTTGGGATAGTGAGTAGTGAGTGGTGAGTAGATAGTAGTGAGTAGTTCATAGTGAGTAGTGCGTAGATAATTGCGAGTAGTGGGGAGTGAGGAGTGAGTAGTGAGTAGTGCGCAGTGAGTTGTGAGTAGTGACTAGTGAGTAGTGAATAGTGGGTAGTGGGAAGTGGGTAGTGAGTAGTGAGTAGCGAGTAGGGAGTCGCGATTAGTGAATAGTGAGTCGCGAATAGGGCTCTGTGAGTAGTGAGGTGTGAGGAGGGAGTAGTCAGTAGTCAGTAGCGAGTATTGAGTAGCGAGTATTGAGTAGTGAGTAGCGAGTAGGGAGTAGGGAGTAGTGAGTACTGAGTGGTGAGAAGTGAAAAGTGGGTATTGAGAATTGGGCAGTGGGTAGCGCGTAGGGAGTAGCGAGTAGTGCCTTGTGACTAGTGACTAGTGGGTAGGGAGTAGGGAGTAGTGGTAGTGAGTAGTGAGTAATACGTAGTGTGTAGTGAATATTGCGTAGTGAGTAGGGAGTAGTGGATAGTGAACCGTGAGTAGTGAGTATTGAGTACTGATTAGTGAGTAGTGAGTAGTGGCGTAGCGACTTGCGACTAGTGACCAGTGGGTAGCGAGAAGGGAGTAGCGAGGAGTGAGTGGTGAGCAGTGAGTATCGTGTAGGGAGTAGGGAGTAGCGAGCAGCGAGCAGCGGATAGTGAGTCGTGAGTTGTGGGCAGTGAGTCGTCAGTAGTGAACTGGGAGTACGCAGTAGTGAGTAGTGGATAGTGGTTAGTGAGTACTGAGTCGTGTCCCGTTCGTAGTGTGTATTGAGTACTGAACTGGGCGTAGTGAATAGGGAGTAGTGAGTAGTGAGTAGCGGGGGCGTAGTGCGTAGTGAGTAGTGGGTAGTGAGTTGTGCGTATTGGGCATCGAGTAGGGTGTAGGGAGTAGCGAGTAGTGAGTTTGAGTAGTGAGTGCTGTGTAGTGAGTAGGGTGTAGCGAGTCTTAGATAGTGAGTAGTGAGTTGTTGGCAGTAAGTAGTGAGTAGTGAAGTGTGATCTGTGCGTCGTAGGTAGTGAGTTGTGCTTAGTGAGTAGTGAGTAGTGGGTATTGAGTCGTGTATAGTGAGTAGTGGGTAGTGAGTAGTGGGTAGTGGGTAGTGAGTAGTGGGTAGTGAGTAGTGAGTCGTGAGTAGTGATTAGTGAGTAGTAAGGGGTGAGTAGTGAGTAGCGAATAGTAAGTAACTGGTAGTGATTAATGCGTAATGAGTAGTGAGTGCTGTTTGGGGCTAGGGGCGGGGTTCGGGGCTAGGTTTGGGGGTTAGGGTTAGGGCGGGGATTAGCGTTCGGGGCGGCAGGGGTCGGGTTCTGGAGCCGGGGGGGGCGCCGCGGCGAAAAGGAGGGGGGGGGGGGGGGTTTGGCTACCATAAAGGAGGGAAGGGGGGGGTCTCCGACGACGGATCGGGAGAGGGGGGGGCGGGGGGGGGCCCCCCGACGACGGATCGGGAAAAGCGGAGCGGGGGGGGCGCCCCGACGACGGATCGGCGAAAGGGGGGGGGGGCCCCCAATCCCCCATCCCTTGGAGATCCAGCGGCGCACCAACTAGGTTAGCTCAACATGGTGGCCAGCCCACGGGGTCGCAAGACTCCTGGGCTCGATATCAGGGGCCGTCGGCAACGGCGGCCCCTGCCCGAGCCGCCGCCCTCGTAGGCTCAGCGGGGCAGCCCGCCGAGTCTGACGTGGACTCTAGCACAGGCACCGACGCTTCGTCAGATGACGGAACTGGTGCCCTAGATTATTCCGACATGCTTACGTATCTCACAGAAAAGCAACAGGCGCAATGGTTATTTCTAGGACACCAGAAACACAGGCGCCGTTGGAGACGCTTCATGAAGACACCAGCTCGTAAGATACGACGCGCTACCCGACGGGCGTTCAGAGCAAAGGGCGCGGGTAGAGGCAAGGGCAATGGCAGACGACGGCGATTACATGGCAGAGGTATGTTGGCAGTCTTGGCATCCCTTACTGGACCACAATACGATGAAATGTTCCTGGGGGCAGGTAGAGGCCGCAGGCGCACCTCAGGAAAGGGCAAGGGGCGTCGGGGTAGCCCGAAAGATGCCAATGGGAAAACAATGGAATGTGATATCTGCCATAGCACACAGCATTTCCGTCGTGAATGCCCCCGAGGCGATGGGAGATGCAGGGGTCCGCCGATACATTTGGCTCAAACCGCATCGGACATTCAGTATGTCGATTGGGAGACGCTATTAGCCGAACCCGAAGACACCCCCGCTGCCGCTGTCCACTTCACCGCCACCATATATCCAAGCGCCAGCGTGTCCCTCGAGATCTATGCCGACGAGCTTTTCGAGGAGATCTACGTTGGCCACAACAAGATCAACCTGGCGGACTGGATGGGCACCCCCATTGCGGGGCAACCAACATATATTGAGTTCGCGCCCGCCGATTCGGACCGCGAGGTGGCGGGGGCACCCGCAGACTCTGATGCTACAGCACCAGCAACAGAGGAGGAGCTACAATTGATGCCCCATCCGCAGGTCATTGGTAGTCCGATATACGGAGAAACGTACGACGACGACCCTTCGCGGGGGAACCCTCGCGATGCTGGTAACCTTTCCGAACGTATTCAATATGAACGTGGACATGGCGACGGCTATCACATCACGTTCGCAGTACACGACCGGCCTACGAGCCGCCCTGTTCGGAGGCGGGTGCATCGTAAAGATGGCGGCGGCGACGAACGGGGAGCCAGGTGTCATCACCCGCAGCGTCGTGTTCGGAGTCATTCGCGCAGGCACTCGCGCGCCCGTTCTAGCGGCGCACAGCGCCCACATCCCCCTGACACAAGGTTCCCAAGGGCTCCACCTAGAAGGGAACGCTCGCGGGGAAACCCACCCCAGGACGAGGATCGGCCCGGCGAGCCCGAAGGCCGCGGCATACAGCGTCTCGTCAGCTACGAAGATCATGGGCTGGCTCGCCCATATTTCTTAGCAGCAGCCACGCAGTACTGGCGCGACCGAGGCTGGACCGAGCACGACATCCGCCACTGGCACTCACTTCGCAATATTGCGCGGGGCGACAATGGCAAGATCGCCCGTGCCAACAGAGGTTTTGGCGCAAAGTCGGCCGCCGCGCTTGCAAGAAGGGGCGCAGCGAGGGCCGCTATTCAGGACCGAGAAGAATGCCGGTGCCTGGTCTGCAAGTGCAAACATGTTGCAGACCACAGACCCGAAGGTCCGATGGGGCGTCCTTCAAGGAGTCCCAATTCTGAGAAGACACTGTGGGTCTGGTCTCATGGAGATGGTTTGGGTTGCAGGATGGACCCGACTAACCATCCTCTTGAACTATGCTTGACCAATGCTGATTACCACCCGATCACCGAAGACGAGGCAAACACATTGAGCGAAGGTGGAAAAACCTCGACAACAATCACCGCCTCAAACGATACAATCGAGGATATCATGAAATCATGGCTGAGGCATCACCTGCGGGGCAACCCGCTTCTTCTCCTCACGAAGGTGCTGGTCATCCGATGGGCGATGCAAGGGCTGACGACCCAAAATGCGGGGGCACCCGCTGAGGAACCGCCCAAGGTCCTACATCCTCCGAAGAAGCGATCTGAGAAGGACGTCGATTTATCCCTATCACCAAGTACGCCAAGGCCACCAATTCCAGCATCATCTAAACAAGAAGAGGACCTGTCCAGCGGAAGCTGACCCTGGAAGCAACAAGTCGCAAAAAGGTATGCGGGGAAACCTGCTTTCAGACGGCGCTCCAGGGGACTGGCAGTGGCCGCGGCAGCATCGGCGTTCCAAGGCAGCAGCACACCCACGCCGAAGGAAACTGTATACTTTCGCGGCCCAGCTCCTGGCAGGATCCACAGGGGAACTGGCTGGACGCCATGGCTGGACGGTGCAACCAGGGGGCCCTCCTCGCAGCGAGGTGAGGGTGAGAGGGTGTTGAAGACTACATCAAAGGCACCAGGAGCTGCTCCAAAGATCACCGGATGCCAGTACCGCGATATCCGCAAAAAGAAGAAGGCATCTGAGAGCGCAAGCTCATCTGCAGCGCCCGCCACGGCTGCGACCCCGGCAAGGGCACCCGCTGAACCAGCCGTTGCGCCTGCGGGGCAACCTGCTACTACACTTGAACAGGCAGAAGAAAGCAGGCGGTTCTGGGGGATCCTGTGCTCAGCCAGCCTCTGTGTTGAGCGCATGGCCACTCTAAGAATCCGGGTTGCTTTTTCAGATGGCGCAATGCCGCGTAGACCTATGAGCCCAGAGTATCGGCCACACTCCTGGGACACATGGTTGAAAAGCCGTAGTCATTCTTGCGTGTCCGTGCCTCTGACGCCGATTCCTTACCAAGTGCAGGGGGGGGTGCGATTTGTCCGCCCCTGCGTCGCTGGAGGCATTGTGTACATTATAGCGGTTTGCTGCCATTGTGTTGCATCGCGGCGCGAATCGATACAGAGCGAGGCAAGGCTTGTCGCGCCAGCAGTGGGCCTAGACGCAATAGCTGCACTGTTCTCCTGCCCCGTGCATAACTAACGCCATGAAGCGTTTAATGAGCTTGAGCTGAAAAGCGGCCCTCGAGGTCAGGACAGGGGGTGAAAGAGCGAGTTTTTCAAAGCGCCAGTTGCCGTTGCCACAGCGGTCGTTTTTTCCCTGAGTAGGCTCGGGCGGTGCTCGTGCATTCCTTGGGCTTTGCTCGAGGGCCAGCGTTGCCGGTGTTGGGGGGTCGACCGCTTCCAGGCGTTGCTTGGGCAAGCCGCGGGCGTTGCACGCTGGCTTGCGGTAGCGGCGGAGCTGGTGGGTCCCTTCCGCGCTCGTCACCCGCAGCGGGATGAGAATTCTGACCATTGGCAGTGGCTCTGAGGAAAAAGAAGAGGATAAGTATCGCCCGACAGGGTGCCGCCGCGCATGCGTCTGTATGTATGTATGTATATATATACATATATATATATATATACATAAACGGAAAGGTTAGAAGCACACATGTGATGGCATGCATTATTGATGAGTCGACCTGACGTTGTGTTAATAGCCAGGTTTCCTGTCGCCCACCATTTGTATGTTTTTCGCTGAGGCCTCCTCTTGAGTGCAAGCGAACTTGAGAGCAGAAGTGATCAGACTGCCCCGAGCGCACAGCCGTGAAAGCAGCAAGACCGCTTGGGCCTGCAAGTCTGGCCCCCCTCGTTTTCCTTCCATCTGCGCCGCAGGTCTCCCACAGCTCGGTGCGGCAGCTCGTCCTCTCCTGCATCAAGGCGGCACCCTGGGCGGCTCTCGGGCCTGCCAGCCTCGCCTCCCCCCCCCTCACCGGCCCAAGACGTCATGATTTGTTCAGGACGTCGACCCCCACAGGTGTCGATCCATTCCCGGGGACCAGTTTTCCATCCTGAGTTGTTTTTTGACGGTCCCGAGGTCCGGTAAGAGCCCCCAGAGGCCAGAAACATAGAAACATTGTCCGTCATGATTGCTCCACGGCCACGGCTCCAGGTGGCTTGGGATGGCTGAAGCCCTCGGCAGGAGCTCCACGCACGGGCGCGCGCGGCCCTGCTCCTGGAGGGGGGGGCGCCGCGAGGGGGGTCGGGAGAATGAGGGTTCAACGAGGAAGTGATCAGCATTCGCAGGCCCTCGGCACCGTCGTCACGAGGACATCCGGGACAGGAACAAGCTGGCCGCACAGGAGAAGGCTCGTGAAGCGCGGGGCCCGATCCCATCGAACAGACGCCCCATTCCCCACAACCCCGCTCCCCCCGTCAAGAGACGAGGCGGGCCCCGCTCCTGGAAGGGGGGGGGGACGCCGCGAGGGGCCCAAGCTGCTTTGCCCCGCGTGGGCTTCCTTGCGAGGCCCTCACCGGGCTCCCTGGACCGTTGCGCGGCGGCGAGCCCTGGGCGGGGAGGGATAAAGGGCCGCCCCTCCCCCAGAGGAAGCAGAAACTGCATGTGCATGTGCGTTCGGAGCTCCGCGCGGACGTCTTGGATCGGCGCTTGGGCGCCGCCCCTGGCGCGCCGCAGGCGCCAGGGAAGGGGGGGGGGGTGTCCAGCGCCGATCCAAGCAGTCCACGCGGACCTCCAAGAGTGAAGGCCCGCCCCCTCTCACTTTCCCCCTAGGTTCGCCGCCGAGTTCAGCAGCGACCCCAGGAAGAAAGAACGGTCCCAGGGGAGAGGTTCGAGAATTCGGGAGGGTCCGCGCCATGACAGAAATCGAGACGTCGGGGGTCTGGGAGCAGCTCGGCAGGGGAAGGGCCGGGGGAGCCCGTGCTCCGCGCCAGCGCGCGGGCCTGCTCCCGGAAGGGGGGGCCCGTCGACCGACCTTTGGGGGAGGACGAGCGGCAGGAGGCTGGAGGGGGTGGAGGGAGGGGAGCCCAGAGATCCTGGCACTGTGGAATATTATTGTTTTTTCCTCTGCTATCGTTCGGCTCGCCCGTTGCTGTCTGTGCTCAAGTCAGATCAGGGGTTCATGCTCACCTGGGCCGAACTCCTAGGCGTCGCCCGCGATCTGCTGCCCGCGGCGTTTCACCTGCGGACGGCCCTGGCGGCGAGCGCGTGCCCTGCGTGCCCCTCGCTGGAGTGCCCGCACGTGGCGCTGCCGGCGTGCCCCGGCCTGCGGTGCGGGGACTGCTCGTGCCCGGAGCCGGCCGGCCTGGGCGGGCTGGGGCCGCTCCTCTGGGCGGGTGCGGGCATCGCGCTCGCGAGCGCCGTGGCCGGGGGCTTCACGGGCTTCCTGCTGGGCGCGCTCGTCGGCGCCCCGTGGCGGCGCCCAGCCGAGGCGGCGAGGCCGCGCGCGGCGACGACAGCGGCGGCGGGGCCCAGCTTTCTTGAAGCTGGGGGGCGGCCTGCCGGTGCGGGGCCTACCACGCCGGCGCAGCTGAGGGATGCCCACGCTTGACACACGGTATGCGCAGGTTCTGGTTCATTACCCTGATGATCCGAATGGGCTGGTGTGGCATCATCGTGTTCTGCTGCATCGTATTAGCGGCGGACGGTGGGTGTGCCTCACTCCCGACTTGCAGCTGCAGATCCACGATCTCAACGATCAGAGACACAAGGTGCTTTCGAGGAGGGCAGCCTTCCCGGCCAACGTCGCGGCCGCCTCGTACGTGTTTGACGACGACGCGGTCTCGGCCGCCCAGATGGAGGAGTTCAAGGGCCAGGCGAAGGTGCAGGCAGCGATCTTGGGGGACGGCGAGTTCGACGACGTCGAGGTCCACAAGTGGGTCGTGTACCAGGTCGACGACGAGCACTTCGGCAAGGAGGTGCCCGAGGAGGTGTTGGGGGACGGGCAGAGGTTCGTCAGTCTCGGGAACCTCGGCGTCGTGGACTGGCTCGGTGCCAAGCGATTCGTGGAGCGAGTCAGGGACGACAAGGTCGACGACTGGAAGGAGAAGCGAGAGTCTTCGGAGGGCGACTCGAGGATCCTCGGCCTGCATCGTAAGAGGGGGAAGCGGAACTTGGCCCTCTCGGATGCGGTCGACCTCTTCACGGAGGAGACGTTCGACGACTGGCCTTTCCCCCCGCCTAGGGCCGCCAAGGAGTACCTGGAGTCGATACGCGACGGGCCCGGCTCGATGGTGGTGTACGAGAGCGAGTGGAGGCAGGACAGTGGTGTTGGCGACGGTACGGCGGCGCTTCACGAGCACCGCAACAACACCGAGGTCCTGCGGCTGGCCCACCAGGTGGACCAGCTCAACGTGCCCAACCTGGCGTGTTTCGAGCAGTTGGTGCGCAGGCAGATCCAAATCGAGATGGCGGTCGAGAGGAACGCGAAGCATCCCGACTACGCTGGCCTGGACCTGGTCATGGGCGGCCCGACTACCGAGAGCGGTGCGGCGGCCAGCGCGGGCTTCCGCGGCTGGATCTACAAGAAGCAGGGAGAGCGTGCGCAGACCCTCAAGCAGTCTCGTCTTCTTCGTGAGGAGCGGCTCAACGAGGACAAGCGTCATAAGAGTGGCAAAGGTGGCGAGGATCCCCCCCCGAAGAAGCCTCCCAAGAAGGGGGGCCCGAAGGGGGGCGACAAGCAGGCGGGGAACTGACCCCAGTGGTCAGTTCCCTTTTGGCTGGGGCGGCTTTTCAGCATGTCCGTCCCCGCCGACAGTTTTGACCGTGGAGGCGCTGGCGTTCGGCGGCGGCTCTGCAGCCAGAGGCGACATGGCGAGATCTTCCCGCTTCCGTCGCCGGCAGCTCCGAGCTTGGCTTCTCCTGGCGCTCCTCGATATGTTCAGCAGCGTCGGCGTGAGCAGCTCCATCGGCATCAGCGAGAGTGTGAAGCGGTTAGATCACTCAACCAGCTCGCTGCCGCAACTACTTCATTTTCGAGCGTCTCAAGTACGCGGCGATTCGGAGGTGAGCGGGGGACGCCCTTGCAATGCGACGTCCTGCAGCACGTCGCTCGGCGCGTCAAGGCGTACGGCCCGCCGCCTCGAGACCTGGACGAAGACGGAGCCCTCGCGGAGCTCCTTGCGTCCAGGGACCTGTACTCGCAGGAGCCGCAGAACCTCGCCGAGTACGACATCTCGAAGCTCAAGATCTGCCGCTCGGGCACCGTGGCGAAGGACGCAAAGACGCTCTTGCCGCCCGAGACGGCGGGCCTCATCAAGCACTATAAGCATTGCGTGGAGCGTGATGCAGAGCAGATACTGGAAGCTCAGGCGGCCCAGGACTTTCCCAGGCCGTATTGGGACCCGAAGCTGGCGCGGGACCACGACAGCCTCTTCGAGCTCGTGGGCCGCCTCAGGGACGCCAACCTCATCGGCTTCCGCAAGAAGCTCAAGGCGAAGGTCGGCATCTTTTTCGTCAAGAAGAAGGACCCCGCGTGGATCAGGCTCATCATTGACGCCCGACAGGCGAACCGCTGCCACAAGACGCCGCCGAAGACACGGCTGGGTTCGGTTGGCGGCTTCTGCGAGCTGGACCTCTCGGACACCGCGTTGCAGGACCTCGGGGGTTTCGGCGGCATCTCGGAGATCTGGGGCGGCACCAGCGACGTCGACGACTGCTTCTACCAGATGCTGGTCGAGGAGCTGGGGTCCTGGTTCGGGATCGACCTCCCGCGGGCCGCGGGCGCCTGGGGGGTTGCCCAGGTCTTTGACGATGATCTGGGTCGACGCGTGGCGGTCGAGCCTTCGGAGGTGGTCTACCCTGTCTTCCACGGCATGGCCATGGGGTGGGCGTGGGCGCTGCACTTCGCGAACGAGGCCATCTCCCACCTGGCCACCAAGAGCGCGGTGTGCCCTCGCTCGCTGGTGCGCGAGCGGACGCCGGCCCCAGCGCTGCGGGCGGGGCAGGCCGTGTCGGGCGTGTATGTGGACAACTTCACCACGCTCGCCGGCGACCGCGAGACCGCGCTCGACTCGGTCCAGAGGTTCAGGCAGGCGGCGGAGGAGGCGCACATCGGCACCCACGTCGACTCCGAGGTCGCCGTGGTCTTCGAGAGCCTCGGGGTGGTCTTCGACGGGAAGCGGAGGTGCCTGCGCCACGTGCCGCGACGCGCCTGGCGCGTCTACCTGGCCACTCGCGCCCTTCGGCGACGCCGCTGGATCCACGGCAACGTCATGGAGATCTGGCTGGGGCACGTCGTCAACCTGTTCAGTCTGTCTCGGCCGGCTTTGGCGCGCTTGCAGGCAATCTACCCCTTCGTCGCGGCGGCGCGCGGGAGGCGCGTCCGCCTTACGCCAGCCATCAAGAATGAGATGCGGCTCGTGCAGGGGCTGCTGTTCCTGTCCGGGTACGACCTGGGGGCCGACTTCAGCCACGAGGTGTACTGCTCGGACTCCTCGAGCTTTGGGTACGCTTTGCTGTCGACCACTGCGACGAGCTCGGAGCTTCGTGACCTCACCCGCTATCGTGAAAGATGGCGGTTCAAGCTCGTCGACACGCTGCCCGAGGTCGGGCTGCTTCGTCCAGAGTGGGTCGAGTACGCGGGGGGCCGCCTCGCGCCTGGAGGATCGTGGGAGTTTCCTGAGGGTGCCTATGCTGACGTTGCTGTGCGAGGGTCTCGACCCTGTGCCATCGGCCCGCAGACGCAGTTTGGGCGCTCGCTGGAGGCAGCTTCCCAGGAGCGGCCTTTTTCCCGGCCTCGGGTCGGGCGTCGCTCACGGGAACCGCGGCCGCGGCCCAGGCAGGAGGAGGTCGAGATCCCGAGCGCCGTGCCCCCGATCGACCGCTGCTGGGACGATCTCCGAAGGTGGAGGCACCTTCGAGTCGGGCGCTGGCGCTGGACAGAGGAGCACATCAATGTCAAGGAAGGCCGCGTGTCCCTCTTCGGCCTTCGCCGAGCGACGCGCAGCCGTCACAACCACGGGAAGCGGGTCGCCTCTATCGGGGACAACCTGGTCTCGATATGTGCCTTCGAGAAGGGCCGCGCGAAGTCGTGGGCCCTCAATGCGCTGGCGAGGCGGGCGGCTAGTTACCAGATCGCTGCTCGGATCCGTTGGCACTCACGGCACGTCGAGAGCAAGCGCAATGTCGCCGATGCCGGTTCGCGCCTGCACGAGACTGGGGGAGGGTCGGCAGTCGGCCCAGTCGGAGTTTCAGAAGATACCACATCATGTACCATGCGTTCCGACACTCCCCCGGCCTCATCTTCGGTCCCTCGGCTCGGCGGTGGACGACACCTCCGAGCGCCTTTTCCAGTACAGGAGACCGTGGCTCTCGAGCTCTTTGCCGGCGAAGCGGGCCTCACTTGTGCTCTCCGGTCCCGCGGGCTGCGGGTCGGGCCGCCGTTCGAACTGGAGCGTGGTGCGAGGTTCGACCTCACCAGAAAAAGCACTCAGAACCTCATCAAGTCCTGGATCCTCTCGGGCCTCATATGGTATATCCACTTGGGTACCCCATGTACGGTCTGGTCAGTGGCGAGGCGAGGGGTGTCTAATCTTGGGAAGGCTTACGCTAAAGAGGCGGTGGCGGTGGAGCTGGCTCTCTTCACCGTGGAGATCTGCGTCTTGGCATCTAGATGCGGGGTCCTCTGGAGCCTGGAGAACCCCTCGTCGTCAGGTCTCTGGGAGTTCAAGCCTGTCGTGGACCTCATGGGGCTCCCCAAGGTCTTCAAGGTCTCCTTCCACATGTGCCAGTATGAGGTCCTGCACAAGAAGCCCACCACAGTGCTCACCAACGTCCAGGCCCTGCGTGGGCTTGAAGCTAAGTGTTCTGGGGGACATGTGCATCGCGTCCTTGAAGGGCAGGAGCGAGTCTTGGGAGCAGATGGAGTCTGGCGGTCACAGTGTAAAACAAAGACAGCGGGAGCCTATCCGTCATCATTGTGCTCGAGATGGGCCTCTCTCATTTTTCAGATTGCACCAGCCGCTGCGCGCGGCTCACAGCCAAGTTTTGTCAACCAGTGGGATGAAGATCTTGCCTCGCTTGTCGGACGGCGACGTTATCCAGCCGTCCAGGGAGCGCCTCCGCGGAGTGGTGAAGGGAGCGATTCTGAAGTCCCCGCCCGAGCGACGGACTACATCCGCGACCACAGGCTACGGTTTGGCCGCCACCGCCCGCTCTGGGCCGCGGAGGCAGAAGGCACTGAGGAGGCAGGCGGTGGCCGCTAGAGCTGCTGCGCCTCCCGATCGCTTCCTCCAGGAGAGCACGGCTGGCGACAAGGCGAAGGACATCTACCGCCGCGAGCTGGAGAAGTTCTACGACTGGGCCGAGCAGCAGAGCCGCCCCGTCGGATCCCTCTCGCTGGCGACGACGATGAAGGAGTATTTCTTCAGCAAGTTCCAGGAGGGCTATGGGCCGAGCGTCGGTCGCGCCGTCTTCTTCGGGTACCTGTTGCTGAAGTCCAACAACTACAAGCAGGAGCGGGAGCGCCTCAGCGACGTCGAGAGAGCGATCGCCGGCTGGGCCAAGCGGTCCCGCGAGGTGGTGAAGGACCCTGCGCCCCAGGAGGTGCTGCTGGACATGGGCGCGTGGATGCTGGACAACGGCCGCGGTGAGAGCGCGGCGTGCTTGGCCCTTCAGCTGGACGACTACGGGCGCCCGTCTGAGAGCGTCGAGCTGGTGGTAGGCAACATGCTGCCGCCTGTCCCAGGTGTCCGCGGCACGGCTTCGCGGGACTGGGGCGTCGTCTTCGCCCCCGCTGAGCTCGGCTTCGTCACCAAGACCGGCCAGGTCGACGACTCCGTGGTGCTGGGCAGTCCTTCGCGGCCGTGGGCTCCGAAGGTGGCTGCCGCGCTGGTTCAGCGCGCGGCGCAGACTTCCGGCGGCCGCAGCAGGCCAGCAGATCCTCGTGCTCCCCTTTTTCGCAGCTTGACCTTGGCGAAGTACGAGCACGACTTCAAGGCAGCGTCGAAGGCCCTCAACTACACTAAGCTGAACGTGACGCCTCACACCGTCAGGCACACCGCCCCGTCTCACGACATCTACCACAAGCATAGGAACCTTGAGCAGGTGCGCCGGCGCGGCCGTTGGGCGGCCAAAAAGAGTGTGACCAGGTACGAGCGCCACGCCAAATTGTTGAAGCAGTACAACAAGCTCGACCGCGTCCAAATCTCGAGGATGAACCGTTCAGCCCAGTCGTTCCCAGACAAGTTGCTGAGCTACCTGAAGAAGCGCTGAAGGGTTTCAGCTCCATGCACGGCGCCGTCCGCAGAATAGGTGGCATCCTCAGCTTCGCAGGTGACGTCGCCTTGTGGGCCTTCCTCCTTTGGTTCTACCCGCCCGCGTACCACCCTTTCATCGTGTCCTTGACCCAGAGTACCCATATGGGCGACTGTATGGGAGTGCCGAGCTCGGTGGCAAAGAGTACCAGTTCATTCGTGACAAGGAGCTCTTTGGACGGAACAGTGCGGTTGTTCAGATGACCATCGTGAAAATGAGTGCAATGCTGATGCCAACCTAGTTTTATATAGCCTTTCGGCTGTCTCCGTCGGCCTGGTAGTGGGTTGGCTCTCTGAGAGGTTCTGGGCGTGCACTTAGATCTTAGAGGAATGTGGAATATTATTGTTTTTTCCTCTGCTATCGTTCGGCTCGCCCGTTGCTGTCTGTGCTCAAGTCACCCGCCCGCGTACCACCCTTTATAAAGAGGGGAGTGCCGAGCTCGGTGGCAAAGAGTACCAGTTCATTCGTGACAAGGAGCTCTTTGGACGGAACAGTGCGGTTGTTCAGATGACCATCGTGAAAATGAGTGCAATGCTGATGCCAACCTAGTTTTATATAGCCTTTCGGCTGTCTCCGTCGGCCTGGTAGTGGGTTGGCTCTCTGAGAGGTTCTGGGCGTGCACTTAGATCTTAGAGGAATGTATATTTCACAACGGGCGAGTTGTTGCCCTGTTTCGGTGCCAGAGCCCCCCCTAAACGAACAGCGGCATCGGTGCCCCAGGGTCACCCCTTACGGGCCCCGAAGGTGAATCGCGTCTCGCGCATCGCGACATGGGTCGGAGGTGCGCCCCTCTCCGAGGCGGCCCCTCGAGGGCGCGAGGGTGACCACGCGTCGCGCCTCGCGGGAGGCGTTGCGCGAAGAGAGACGACCCGGGTGCCTTCTCCTTGGGATTCCCTCCACTCCGACCCCGCCCCCCTGCCCCCTGCCGCCGCCTCCGCGGCGAGGTGCTGGCGCTGCACCACTTCGAGTCGGCCGTCGGGGAACTGCTGGACACTGGCCCGGACTTCAACGCCTCGATCCTGGGGGCGCTGCAGGCCCGCCAGCCCCCCGTGCCAGGGGCGACGATAGGGGGGATGGGCTCCGTGGGGGACGTGTCGACCCGAAATCGCCCAATGCTCGCCGATAGGGGTCCGATGGTCCCACCCCGCCCCGGGACACGCGGCTTCGCCATCGGGGGCCTATCGCCGATCTATCCGCGATGCATCGCCGATTCCAAGCCGACGTTCCCCCCCGCTGAGCCAGTCCCCCCGTATCGTTGCCTCTCACCCTGCCGGCCGTCGTCGGGGAGCTCTCCGCGAGAGATCTCTTCGCCCATCGCTCTGCGAGCAGGGTGTGGGCTCGTTGCGCGCTTCGTTGCAGACACCCTCGCGTCGTGAAGTGATCACGACGGACGTTTTGGTTCTTCCTGTCGGCCTCTGAGGCCCTCGCCGGGCCCCATGACCGTCAAGAGACGACTCAGGATGACAAACTGGCCTTGGAGAAAGGGTCTCAAGTTTCGGGGACGCAGCAATGAACAAACAGACATCGCATGGATGGATGTCTTCGTTGCCGGGTCGGCGAAGTTGTGCCTGCTCGTGCCAGCGGAGCGCGTGCTCATACACGACGCGCCTCCGCGACAATTTATTCCCAACCATCCTGTGGTGTTGGGTCCTCGTTTTGAAGAGACAGCGCCCCTCGTTCACTCCTTCCTTCCTTCCTCCCGCTGCCCCCTCCCTCGTCACCGCACCCATTTCAGCACGCCCCTCACACGTTTCGTGGCCCCATAGGGAGCTCCACCGAAGGCCCCAGTGGCTGCGTTCGCATGGCGGCGCCGCACCCATTTCGGCACAGCCCTCACACGCTTCGTGGCCCCATAGGGAGCTCCACCGAAGGCCCCAGTGGCTGCGTTGGCATGGCGGCGCCGCACCCATTTCGGCACACCCCTCACACGTTTCGTGGCCCCATAGGGAGCTCCACCGAAGGCCCCAGTGGCTGCGTTTCCCATGCGGCGCCGCACCATTTCGGCACACCTTCACGTTTCGTGCCCCATAGGGAGCTCCACCGAAGGCCCCAGTGGCTGCGTTCGCATGCACCCATTTCGGCACACCCCTCACACGCTTCGTGGCCGCATAGGGAGCTCCACCATTGGCTGCGTTGGCATGGCGGCGCCGCAACCATTTCGGCACACACGTTTCGTGGCCCCATAGGGAGCTCCACCGAAGGCCCCAGTGGCTGCGTTGGCATGGCGGCGCCGCACCCATTTGGCACACCCCTCACACGTTTCGTGGCCCCATAGGGAGCTCCACCGAAGGCCCCAGTGGCTGCGTTGGCATGGCGGAGCCGCACCCATTTCGGCACACCCCTCACACGTTTCGTGGCCCCATAGGGAGCTCCACCGAAGGCCCCAGTGGCTGCGCCCGCATGCGGTCCCCCACCCATTCGGCACACCCCTCACACGTTTCGTGGCCCCATAGGGAGCTCCACGAAGGCCCCAGTGGCTGCGTTAGCATGGCGGCGCCTCACCCATTTCGGGCACACCCCTCACACGTTTCGTGGCCCCATGGGGAGCTCACCGAAGGCCAGTGGATGCGTTCGCATTGCGGCGCCGCACATTTCGGCACACCCCTCACACGTTCGTGGCCCCATAGGGAGCTCCACCGAAGGCCCCAGTGCTACCGCCCTCATGCGCCCCGTACGCCCAGGACAGCGTTTCGTGGCACGCCTTTCGTGGCCCCATAAGGAGCCCCACCGAAAGCGGCACCCACAAAGCGTTATTCACAATTGCATATGGTTGGGTCCTTCGCCAGGATATTTTTGTTTGTCGCTCAGCCGATCTCCAGATCGGTCCCTTGTTCGAGCGGTCGCTCGATCGTTTGGCTCGGGCTTTCGTTCTTCTCATTCGGTACGCGTTTCGCTCGTTCGCTCGCTTGCCCGTTGACTCTGTCGTTTTTGTTCGTCCGCTGCCTTGCTCGGTTGCTCGGTATTCTGGTCTCGGTTTCTTTCGCTCGCTCAATCGTCTCGTCGTGCGAGTGCCTGGTAATTTGCTCTGTCGCGCGGCCTTTCGGTCGTTCGTTTGTTCGTTCAAGATTCTCTTTATCGTGCGAGCGCTCGGTCGTTCGCTTGCTCGTTTCGTACAAGTTTTGCCTCTTCGCTTGTTCGTTCGGCCGCTTGCTAGTACTCGGGGCACACGCTCTCAGAGTCCTTGGAGGGACCAGCACAGCAATAGCCAGCTTCCACGATCCCGGCTCGACGCAGCTGCTCGCCTTCAGCTCCCAGCGTTCTGCCCTCGGAGCCTCAGTATCCTGGCGAACAACTCGGTCTACCGCAGCCCTGCACCCGTACAGGTCCCAATCGGAGCATGGGCCGCTGCACCAGCACCCCGGGCAAGTTTGCCCTGTCCTGAGTGCCGCCCTCCGCCGTTTCCATCCTCCGCGGCCGCCTCCCTGCCTCGGCAGTGTCTGGCTGCGGAACAGCTGTTTGGCATCACCACCCAGCTCTTCCGATCTGTGCGAGCCCCGCCGTTTCTTTGTCCGTGTGCTCGTTCGTCCGTTCGTCCGGTGTTTGCCTCACCGGTTCGATGTTCTGTTCGCACGGCAAGATCGGCGTTTGGTCGTTCGCTCGTTTGTTCGGTACGTCGTTCGCTCGCTCCCTCGTTCGCAAGATCTTTGTTTCATATTCTGCCTTGTTCTTCCGCTACGAGCACGGTTCGTTTGCTCTGTTTCTGGTCACTTGTTCAATATGATAATATGTTCCTCGTTTGCGCGCGGGTTCGTTTTTTTCGGTTTTAGTTCATTCTCTCCGAGAAGGCCGCGGCGCCCGAGGCATCCTCCAGAGTCGCCAGATCTCAGAGATTCTCGATTTATCTTCACCCGACTTCATCCTAGTCCTGACTTTGTCTTATAGATTCGTTCGCTACCGACCCCTCCCGGACCAGCGCCCCACGACTTGGAATATTTGTTCGCTCGTGTGGATGAGGTAAATATTGGGGTATCGCGCAGCCGTACACAGTAGGCGCCTCAAGTAAATGAGCAGCCAGCAAGCAGTTGTCCCACAGAAGTTTCGCGTCCCCCGATGGCCCTTGGGTCCCACACAGGACCTGGGGCACACTAGGAGGTTCAAGCACCGAGGTTTCTTCTCGCAGACATCTATTGCGCTCACCGAGTATGAACGGCCGACGCCTCATGGGACCGAGTGGATTATCGATCGGTCGTTGAAGGTAGGTATTTCTTGATTCCGCAGAGCGGGTGTCACGGCAGGCCCCCAGGGGGAAGTTTGCACGCAGGTGTTGCAACCAGTGGGTGTTAGGGATATTGCCTCGACGGGGGTCGGTGCCAATCGTTGTAATAGTTGCGCCCCTCGTGGGATTAGGCGGTCTTGGAAGCCAGCTAAGAGCCTTTTGGAGTCCATGGTACACGACGTGCGTGAGGGGTGTGCCCAACGGAGGGTCCAAAAAGCCTTCTCGGGGGCCAGCTGAGCGCCACACATTCACGACATGCGTGAGCGGAGTGCCGAATCCAGGTTCCCATCAACATGGAAAGGCAATTCATCCATATTTGTACATTTCCCCAGAGCCTAGAAGCCCCGAACACGAGTTTTGAGCGTGTCCCAGGAGCCTGAGAGCGCAGATCACTCGTATTTTCACGTATCTCAGGAGAGTGTGGGGCAGGAAATGCGCGAGGGGTGTCTAGAGTTGAGCCCTTTGTGGCCCTCGGAGCGCTGATCCAGTAGCGTGTGGAGCAGGGAATGCATGAGGTGTGTGCCGAAACTATGCTTTCGCAACCCTGACAGCGCATCTCATTCGGAACTAGGCTGTCGCAGCCTCGAGAGCGCATCTCGTTCATTGTATTACGTGTCCCAGAAGCTGTCACGCGCATCGGCCTAGCGCTGGGAGCGCGTTTTATTCCCAACCTTCCTGCGTTGGGTGCTCGTTTTGAATAGAGCAGCTGCGGTCGCGACTCCTCTCCTCTCCTCTCCCGCCCCCTCCTCCTTTCCTCTCCCCCCCTGCTTCCTACCTCGCTCGCTCCTGCGTGCCAGTTTGTTTCCTACCTCACCATCCCTGGGGGGCTGCGATCTGCGAAACTGTCGCCACGTTCGAGGGCTGCTGGGGGGCCCAGCGGAGTGGAGTCATACGCAGATTCAGATTAGACCTCGCCATCCCTAGGGGTCTGCGATCTGCGAAACTGTCGCGACTGTCGAGGGCTGCTGGGTGGCCCAGCGGAGTGGGGTCATTCGCAGATTCAGATTCGACCTCGCCGTCCCTGGGGGGCTGCGATCTGCGAAACTGACACCACTGTCGAGGGCTGCTGGGGGGCCCAGCGGAGTGGGGTCATACGCAGATCGAGATTCGACCTCGCCATCCCTGGGGGGCTGCGATCCGCGAAACTGTCACCACTGTCGAAGGCTGCCGGGGAGCCCAGCGGAGTGGGGTCATGCGCAGATTCAGATAGACCTCGCCATCCCGGTGTGGGTTGCGATCTGCGAAACTGTTCACCACGTCGAGGCTGCTGGGGGGCCCAGCGGAGTGGGGTCATGCGAAGATTCAGATTAGACCTAGCCATCCTTGGGGGGCTGGATCTGCGAAACTGTCACCACTGTCGAGGGCTGCTGGCGGGCCCAGCGGAGTGGGGTCATAAGCAGATGTCTAGATTAGACCTCCCATCCCTAGTGGCTGCGATCTGCGAATAACCTGTCGCCACTTTCGGGGGCTGCTGGGGGGGGGGCCAGCGGAGTGGGGCAATACGCAGATTCAGGATCAGACCTCGCCATCCCTGGGGGGCTGCGATCTGCGAAACTGTCACGACTGCGAGGGTTGCCTGGGGGGGGGGCAGCGGAGTGGATTCGTCATGAGCAGATTCAGATTAGACCCGCCATCCCTGGGGGGCTGCCCGATCTGCGGAAATGTTGCCACTTCGAGGGTGCGGGGGGCCAGCGGAGTGAACGTCATACGGCAGATTCAGAGCCCCCCATCATCTTCTCCTGCCTCGTCCTCTGCCACCGTTAGACTGTCCGAGCCTGGGGCCTCAATTCTCGTTCTTTCGACGTCGTCTGAGAGTCG